CGCCTAATACATGTTCCGGTAGATTTAACTACCTATAAATAGATGGAATTTTGACCCGTGTCAAAGGTTGGGGGTGGCTGATGATTCGGGAGGTGGCTGCGGGTTGACGAAAGGGAAAAGCGCCTCGCCTTCACTCTCTTTCTTTTTCTCTTTCTCTATCTTTCTCTGTGTCTGTCTGTCTGTCTGTCTGTCTGTCTGTTTGTCTCTATATATACTAACGAGCAAAAGAAACGCAAACTCCTGTTTACCTTGGCAAAGGTGATCATGTTCGTTTTCCAATATTGACAAAACGGGGCAATTTAAACATAAACTGTTTTCTGGCGTTATGAAAGAATAGGTGGGGCATCACTGTGAATATTAAAATTTAACGAAATATATTTTCAACTTCCCCTTAATGCACCAAAATGCTCAGTAGTGGTTATGGACTCTATTAGATCGGATAACCGTAGTACAAGGAAGCCACTTGGTTGTTGGTAAATCGCAGGGGGATCTGCCTCTCCATGTCTCCTGGATGGCCACATACAGTTCTTAAGTGGTTCTCGGCCTTGGTTTTCTCACCTGGATGAGTCGTTTAATTTCGTCCCAAAAATGTTTGATTAGGTTTAAATCAGTTCTTAAGGCAGGGTGAGGCTGTGGAATAATGCCATGGTGTTGGAGGAAATCCTGTGTAATACAGGACATGTGCGCACAATCATTATCTTGCTGGAACCGGAAGTTAAAATTTTGTCTGTGTATAGGGCCTAAGAATTTCTGCTATGCAGGCATTGACACCTTGACCTCGATTTTTGGCCTTGATTTTAAAAGATCATTGGTCTTACTTTGTGATTTCACATGATTCTACCCCAGATCATGACGCAATGTCCTCCCCAGCTACTCCTCTATATGACACATCTGTCACAATTACGTTCGCCTCCTTTTTGATAAACTCTGACGACCCTGTTTACTGTATCTATGGAGAATAGGCACTTGTCCGAAAAGGAGAACCGAAGACACCTGTTGACATAGTGCTGGGCCCAGTTGAGACGCTCTTGGCGATGGTGTGCGGTCAAGACTGGACCCTGGTAAGGTCGACGGCGTCTACGGCTTACCTGATGCAATCGTCGGTTCACTGTGTGTCGACTTCTGGCTCTTCCTTGGGTACTCCCTACCAAATCTGACGTTCTTATACCTGTCTAAAGTCGATTTGAACAATACATCCCGACAATGTGTCTGTATGCACGTGCACCGGTCACTCTGAGTCGAAATGACCTTTTTCGGTCCGACGTAGAATTCACGAGCAGAAAACGGGTTATCAGTCTGTGGATAGTCGAGATGTGAACACCAAAATGACTGGCAACCACAAATGGCCTTTCTCCACCTTACATATATATATA